TTTTTGATAGAGATTTGATTTCCAACGTCTTGTTGGAGTATACTATGACTCAGACTAGCATCTCTCAGCTGTGCAAATTTTTAAAAGCTATGTCCCTTATATTTTGATCTGTCGTCTATATGTAACTTTTTTTATCAAATATGTTCTATATACAATGTACATCTAAAGATTAAATACACTGACCAAATACATGTTCTATATACAATGTATATCTAAACACTAAGTTCACTGACCAAATACATGTTCTATATACAATGTATATCTAAACATTAAATACACTGACCAGATACATGTTCTATATACAATGTATATCTAATGATTAAATACACTGACCAGATACATGTTCTATATACAATGTATATCTAAAGATTAAATACACTGACCAGATACATGTTCTATTATATACAATGTACATCTAAAGATTAAATTCACTGACCAGATACATGTTCTATATACAATGTATATCTAAAGATTTAATACACTGACCAAATACATGTTCTATATACAATGTATATCTAAACATTAAATACACTGACCAGATACATGTTCTATATACAATGTACATCTAAAGATTAAATACACTGACCAAATACATGTTCTATATACAATGTACATCTAAAGATTAAATACACTGACCAAATACATGTTCTATATATACAATGTACATCTAAACATTAAGTTCACTGACCAGATACATGTTCTATATACAATGTATATCTAAAGATTAAATACACTGACCAGATACATGTTCTATATACAATGTACATCTAAAGATTAAATTAACTGACCAGATACATGTTCTATATACAATGTATATCTAAAGATTAAATACACTGACCAAATACATGTTCTATATACAATGTACATCTAAAGATTAAATTCACTGACCAGATACATGTTCTATATACAATGTACATCTAAACATTAAATACACTGACCAGATACATGTTCTATATACAATGTACATCTAAACATTAAATACACTGACCAAATACATGTTCTATATACAATGTATATCTAAACATTAAATACACTGACCAGATACATGTTCTATATACAATGTATATCTAAACATTAAATACACTGACCAGATACATGTTCTATATACAATGTACATCTAAAGATTAAATTAACTGACCAGATACATGTTCTATATACAATGTATATCTAAAGATTAAATACACTGACCAAATACATGTTCTATATACAATGTATATCTAAACATTAAATACACTGACCAAATACATGTTCTATATACAATGTATATCTAAAGATTAAGTTCACTGACCAAATACATGTTCTATATACAATGTACATCTAAAGATTAAATTAACTGACCAGATACATGTTCTATATACAATGTATATCTAAAGATTAAATACACTGACCAAATACATGTTCTATATACAATGTATATCTAAAGATTAAATACACTGACCAAATACATGTTCTATATATACAATGTACATCTAAAGATTAAGTTCACTGACCAGATACATGTTCTATATACAATGTATATCTAAACATTAAATACACTGACCAGATACATGTTCTATATACAATGTACATCTAAAGATTAAATTAACTGACCAGATACATGTTCTATATACAATGTATATCTAAAGATTAAATACACTGACCAAATACATGTTCTATATATACAATGTACATCTAAAGATTAAATTCACTGACCAGATACATATTCTATATACAATGTATATCTAAAGATTAAATACACTGACCAAATACATGTTCTATATATACAATGTATATCTAAACATTAAATACACTGACCAGATACATGTTCTATATACAATGTACATCTAAAGATTAAATTAACTGACCAGATACATGTTCTATATACAATGTATATCTAAAGATTAAATACACTGACCAAATACATGTTCTATATATACAATGTACATCTAAAGATTAAATTCACTGACCAGATACATGTTCTATATACAATGTACATCTAAACATTAAATACACTGACCAGATACATGTTCTATATACAATGTACATCTAAACATTAAATACACTGACCAGATACATGTTCTATATACAATGTATATCTAAACATTAAATACACTGACCAGATACATGTTCTATATACAATGTATATCTAAAGATTAAATACACTGACCAAATACATGTTCTATATACAATGTACATCTAAAGATTAAATACACTGACCAAATACATGTTCTATATACAATATACATCTAAAGATTACATTCACTGACCAGATACATGTTCTATATACAATGTACATCTAAAGATTAAATACACTGACCAAATACATGTTCTATATACAATGTATATCTAAACATTAAATACACTGACCAGATACATGTTCTATATACAATGTACATCTAAAGATTAAATACACTGACCAAATACATGTTCTATATACAATGTATATCTAAAGATTAAATACACTGACCAAATACATGTTCTATACACAATGTACATCTAAACATTAAATTCACTGACTAAATACATGGTCTATAAGAAACATAAATTGACCAAATACATTGTTTATAAGCAACAGATATTTACTAAGATTGATGGTTTATCAACATCTATTGACCAAATGCATCATAATTATTGTCTATATGTAACATTTACTAACCAAATACAGTACAAGGTCTATTACCAACATCTATTGACGAAATACACATTTATAAGTCACATAAATTGAAAAATTTCATGATGTAATACTATTATATAAGATCTAATACAATATCTATAAGTTTTATCTATAGACCAAAGACACGGACGGTTTATTTTAAACGCATATATAAACATCAATTTCTATGACTAAATACACGGTTTATATTGAATGCTTATCTAAGCATCAAATTCTATGAACCAAATACATGTTCAATTTATGTATCATCTAATTAATAAATACATGGTATGATACCAACATCTATTGAACAAATACATGGTTATAAGAATTTGTTTTCAATATTTAACGAATATGAATATTTTAGAAATGGGTTGGCTGTCCTTTTTTATTGATAGGAAAAGATAAATCAATAGCTCAGCTTTAATTTATACAAAACAAATAATATTGAAAGCGTTTTATATTGCTTATTGTTGACAAGTTATTCATGCATCTGAAAATAATTCAAAAGTATAACATGTAAGCTTTATTGCATAGGACAATGAAGGAAAACAGAAAAAAAGTAACATTGATAAATTCCAATCCGTGAGTATCAAAGTTCTTACACAGACAAACTGTTCTTGTAAATATTGATTTATTTCGATATGAAAATATTTTGTAGAGCATTTTAATTTTTATTGAAATTTAAAGTGATAAAGGTTATTTTAAGATTTTAAATCGTAATCTTGGTCCTTCTAAATGATAAACTGAATAAAGTCAGATTAATGTGTAAACCTGACGTACTCACAAAATTTACATGTTAAACTTGACGTACTCACTCACATATTGTACATGTTAAACCTGACGTACTCACTCACAAAATGTACATGTTAAACTTGACGTACTCACTCAAAAAATGTACATGTTAAACTTGACGTACTCACTCACAAAATGTACATGTTAAACTTGACGTACTCATTCACAAAATGTACACGTTAAACCTGACGTACTCTCACAAAATGTACATATTAAACTTGAAGTACTCACTCACAAAATGTAAATGTTAAAACTGGCGTACTTACTCACAAAATGCACATGTTAAACCTGACGTACTCACTCACAAAATGTACATGTTAAACATGACGTACTCACTCACAAAATGTACATATTAGACTTGACGTACTAACTCACAAAATGTACATGTGAAACCTAACGTACTCATTCACAAAATGTACATGTTAACCTTGACGTACTCACTCACAAAATGTACATGTTAAACTTGGCCTAAACTCTCTAAAAAAACAGAATAAAGTCAGATTAATGTGTGAACTTGACGTACTCACTCAAAAAAATGTACATGTTAAACTTGACGTACTCACTCACAAAATGTACATGTTAAACTTGACGTACTCACTCACAAAATGTACACGTTAAACCTGACGTACTCTCACAAAATGTACATGTTAAACCTGAAGTTCTCACTCACAAAATGTACATGTTAAAACTGGCGTACTCACTCACAAAATGCACATGTTAAACCTGACGTACTCACTCGAAAAAAAATGTAAATGTTAGACTTGACGTACTGACTCACAAAATGTACATGTGAAACCTGACTAACTCACTCACAAAATGTACATGTTAACCTTGACGTACTCACTCACAAAATGTACATGTTAAACTTGGCCTAAACTCTCTAAAAAACAGAATAAAGTCAGATTAATGTGTAAACTTGACGTACTCACTCACAAAATGTATATGTTAAATCTGACGTACTCGCTCACAAAATGTACATGATGAACTTGACGTACTCACTCACAAAATGTACATGTTCAACTTGACGTACTCACTCACAAAATGTATTCCAAAGGATTTTGTCTTTCTTTCCAGTTTGGGAGTGAGATAGCCAAGTTTAAACATCAATGATATTCTTTAATAATCTTTATTATTGAAATTATAAAATGCTGGAATCTAAGTACAGGTTGCCCAGATGTTTCAGGTACACATGTTACTTTTGCACATATGTTATAAAACATTTAGTTAACAATTTTGGCAATGATCAATTATGATTAGCAATTTTTAAAAATCATTTACAAACAGATGTGATAAATTGAATCAATATTTTAGTGTATAATAAATATAAAATTATATCCATACAAAACTTTTTTAAAATGGAACCTTTATTTGGATGAAAATTAAAACGCCGTATACATATAATAGCTTGAAAAAAGCCCATGATTGCCTGGAGGAAAAACATATGGTGCATACTGAAAGCAATAATAACTCTAAGCTGTAAGCAGTTAATTGAAACCAGTATTTTTTTGTTTTCTGAAATGCATACTGAAACAGCAAAGCATGCTCTACCCATTTTGAAATTGGTGTGTTTCAGATGCTGTACAGGTTTAAGGTATGGCTAAAACGTTCTGGACCAATGCCATATATTTTGCCAGCAGGTGTTTACCTGATATTGTTAGTTTTCTGTAAGTAGGCTTTTAATGTGTTTAATGTTTCATAAAACAGAGGCGGAAGATACCAAAAGGATATTCAAACTTATAAGTTAAAAACAAGCTGACCATGCCATGGGAAAAAAAAACCGGAAAACTACCAAAAAGCAAAACAAACCCCACAAAAATAGCAATGGGATCTTGGGTGCTCCGAAAGGGTAAGTGGATCCTGCTTCACATGTGGCGCCTGTCGTGTTGCTTCATAGAAATTTAAATGTACTTATTTTTTGCTAATTGTCATCAAATTTCTCATCGATTGCAATGTACACAGCGGTTATCAGATCAATAGTTTTTAAACAGAGATAAAGTCAACCACAGAAATAGCAAAAAATCAAATGCGCTAGAGGTACACGAGTATACATCCTTTTTCTTTTTTTTTTGGGGGGGGGGGGGGCGGGGGGGGTGGAGGCAAGGCCAATTTTCCTTGTTGATATAACCCAGAATTAGAAAAAAAAAGCGTTGACATCTTATTAAACCGTTCTAAAGTCGTCTTCAACTTAAAGTCAGGGAATTCAATCTTCAAGGCTCTATTGGACTATGAATGAGATGAAGAACGGTAATGAAAGCGCCGTTCCTTTCCTTTTGTTTTTATCTTATATATAAAAAGATTCACTGTCTCCACGGCTGTTATTCAGTATTTCGAGAAAAATAATCGTGAAAGAACAAGTAAAGGTGGTTAAGTATTGCGATTATATCGTGAAAGATCTGGTATAGGATCGTGAAGGAAATCTTATCGAGACGACACATGCAACGTCATTGAATAATCTAAATGAATGAATTATATTGACAATTATTGAAAAAATGAAACTGTCTGTCAAAATGGTTCAACATTATTTCCAGTATCCGAGAAAAATCAAGGTTAAAAAGTACACCGTTTTTACAAAACTACTAAAAGCATATTACTTGTCGAAATTTCAAAGAAATATAAATGTAAACAAACATTTTTTTTCAAATTTTTAATGCATAAACTACTTTACTCTTAAAAATATCATTCAATATTACTGTTTAAAATAGTTCTAAGAAGTTATTATTTTTTTTAGATTAATCAGAAACTTTGCAAAGAATAGAATATTTGAACAAATTTGATATTTCGGATCGTGAAAGATCGGGTACGGCATTTTGATGATCGTGAAAGATCTGTTGCCGCTTATTCGATATTGCAAAAATCCACGAAAACGATCAAATCTTTCTTTAAACACAGGATAATTTGTAATTAGTATAACACAAGTTAGGATTTCACGATCACTTTTAGTTAAATATCACCAAATTATACTTTTTTCAAAAATAATGTGAACTTTTACAGGTAATAACATACTTTATTTTACTGGACTATTTGACAAACTAAAGATTAAGCTTCAATATATATTGGAATGTGACCATTATAGATACAAAACGTGATTTTTTCTTAATAATTATCATAGGATTCTCTGTCGCCTTTTGTGTTTTCTTAAAACGTACTGCATTCTATAACAACAGTGCACAGTATTATTAAGGAAGTTGAATCATTTTGACAGACATATTTCTTTTTTCTGATTTGTTCAATCTTTTGAAAATACAGTAGATTTTTCACAGATTTTGAAGTAGAATTACAATTAATTGCATTCATGATCCAATACCATGTCGAGTAGGATCTGCTTACCATTCCGGAACACCTGAGATCACCCCCAGTTTTTGGTGGGGTTCGTGTTGATCAGTCTTTAGTTTTCTATGTTGTGTTTTTTGTACTATTGTTTGTCTGTTGGTCTTTTTTTTTTAGCCATGGCGTTGTCAGTTTATTTTTGACTTATGAGTTTGAATGTTCCTCTGGTATCTTTTGTCTCTCCTTTTCACTATCCGATCGCAATGCTTCACCCCCGTTAGTTATTCTTTCACGATTATTTTCCTCGATATACCGCATGACATCCGTGGTCTCCGTCCTTTGTCATTTCATAACTGCCACTATATAGCTTCAACACTATGTAGAGTGTGTTTACCTCACTTATATACTGTGTGACGTCTATAGATAAAAGTGATACATACGTGGTAGTCCACTAAACAGTTTTGCATAGTGGCTATGACTTCATAAAAATAAGAAGATGTGGTATGATTGCTAATGAGACATGTCTCCACCAGAGATCAAATGACGTAGAAGTTAACATTACAGGTCACCGTACGGCCCTCAACAATGAACAAAATCCATACCACATAGTTATCTAAAAAAGGCCCCTAAATGACAAATGTAAAACAATTCAAACGAGAAAACTAACGGCCTGATTTATGTACAAAACAATAAACGAAAAACAAATATAATAGACAGTACCACACGACAATCACTGAATTACAGGCTCTTGACTTGGGACAGGCACATACAGAATGTGGGAAGGTTTAACTTAGAATAAAAATGGAAACAAGGAATGTGTCAAAGAGACAGCAAGCCGACCAAAGAGCAGAAAACAGTCATGGCTAAATATGTTTGACTGTGCCAAACCCTTCCCAAGCATGTGAGAGTGGTGTAACAGTACAACATAAGACGACTATAAAAATCAGTTAAAAGGGCTTAACTCTTCAGATTCAAAAGTCAGACATTAAAACAAATGAAAAACTATATCGTATAAAAGATGACTAAAATGCATTATAATAAGATAAACTACTCGGAAAAAAGGTTTAATCTTATATTCAAATACAACACTTAAAAACCGTAAGACTATATGACTTATATTGTATGAATGTGTTTAACTTTATTATACATTATTGGTTGTTCCTATGTTACACATACATGTTATATTGAATACATAGTGAGGTTGTATTAATGATAAGGATGTTTGCGAATACAAAGTATTCATTAGAAAATGTACAATGCACCAAAGCATACAGAAGAAAAAAGTTCTTATAAAAAAAAGACATGTTTTTGAAACAGAGATTTTAAATGTTAAAATATACAGAATGCCCCATCTTCTCTTCGTATGAATAAGTTCGTTCGCTTTAGCTTAAAGCTTTAAACTATATAAGTTTCATATGCAATGTAAAAGGCATCAAAACATAAGTTCAGTATACAAACAAACGTGTGTGTACCCATACGAAACTTTACATATTTAAGTTAATATAAGTTAACGGCGTTTTTCTCACAGTGATGTTTTACCTCAATTAGCCTGGAAACGTCATGGCGGGTCACATATGTTCAAACTGTTTTTCTTTGTATGTATTCTTGATTATTGTTTTTTTGTTGTTGTCTAAAAAGTAAAATCACAAAAATACTGAACTCCGAGGAAAATTCAAAACGGAAAGTCCTTAATCAAATGGCAAAATCAAAAGCACAAACACATCAAAAGAATGGACAACCACTGTCATATTCCTGACTTGATACAGGCATTTTCTTATGTAGAAAATGGTGGAGTAAACCTGGTTTTATAGCGCTAAACCTCTTACTTGTATGACAGTCGCATCAAATTCCATTATATTGACAACGATGCGTGAATAAAACAAACAGACATCAAAAGGTAAAAATGACAAAATAGTGGTACAGTAGTCAACACCGTGTCACAATCTTAATCACAACTAAAACAATGTCTTATATTGTAATATGCTCTTTGTGATCCCATTTGATGGAAAATAAACCATCTTCCTATGTTTTCTCAATGTTATCTGTTTAGTTTAATATAATTAAATTTCACATCTTAACATTAAAGGTTATAACAATATAAAATTTCATTGGGTTAAATAAACATAAAGAAAATTCTGCCAATGTGCTTTTCCACATGGTTTTATGTAGAACCATTGTCGGAAATTTATGGTAGTTTTATATATTGGTGAAATTAAGATGACTAGTAAAAACAAAAACAGAGGACTCTCACTTGGTCATGTCTTTCGTGCGGAGTTCCATTGAAGCAAATCAAATCAATGAATCGATCAATAAAATTGATAATGGAAATGGGGAATGTGTCAAAGTGACAACAACCCGACCAAAGAGCAGAAAACAGATGAAGGCCACCAATGGGTCTTCAATACAGCGAGAAAATCCCGCACCCGGAGTTGGGCTTCAGCTGGCCCCTTAACAAAAATGTGTCCTAGTTCAAAGACTACTCTATCATAATTTTACTGTATTAACATTGTAGTTATTGCATGAATATCGTCGATATGTTGATAATCTTGTTTTGTTTGTGGGACCTTCTTAATTACTCAATCATTCATAATGTTATTTTTACCAACGTTTTACGTTATTACAAGTGAAAAACAACTTTGTTCTCAGGAAGTGATTTTACACCAAGGTGTGTGTAGGGAAGTAGCATTCAAATACATTTTCAACCCAATTAAGTTCTTGTCCGAAGTCAGGAGCCTTTTATTCTGTTGTCGGTGTCTGTCTAGGATGGGGAGGGATGGAAAGTGGCAAACGGACCATGCTGACAATATAGTTCCATTCCTTATATCATTACTACCCTAATTTTATAATAAGAAAATTGTATATAAATTCAAAAAAAAGCTCCTACATAAAAAGGCACAATGAGCTATAATTTCTTGTGTAAACTGCTATGTTTGCTTGTGTATACAGCTATATTTTTTCGTGTAGAAAGCTATATTTTCTAGTGTATGTTTCTTTACAGTTTGTTACCAAGATTATATATTAACAGATGGATGGTCAACTGATGTCAACTATAAGGTATGATCAGAAAGGTCAACGTTTATGCAATTACTGTGACTATATTTATTTTCTTGGGTACCAATTTTGGTGGCTTGAAGAAAAATTCTATTACGATACTTGATTTTATGGTTTTGTAAAAGTTTTCATATAATCCTATGATAAATTTATATTTGTTGACCATTTGAACTTGTGGTTCATCTATACTAACGAAATCTACGAAATTGTATCGAATATTGAATCAACAGTAGTCTATAAACATAAAAATAAGTAGATGAGGTATGATTGCCAAGGAGACAACTATCCACCAAAGTTCAAATGAAGTGGAGGTAATCAATTATAGGCAAACGTACGGCCTTCAACAATGAGAAAAACGCATACCGTATAGTCGACTATAAAAGGCTCAACCCTCCTCCTAACCTGGAACAGTGGTGTAACAGTATAACATAAGAACAAACTATAAAAATCTGTTGAAAAAGGCTTAACTCATCAGATAGATACAAATAGAAATACAACTAACAAAAACACAGAGTGGACGTGGATGGGAACTTATACATCCCCACAACAAAAAGACATTAAGTGCAGATCTGAGAGTACTCGCAGTTACTGGCAGCTAATTCAAAGCCAATAACAACTACATGTAATAAAAAAAAATCATGTATCTAAGACTAAAATATCAATCAGTACACATCCAACATCCAATTGATTAAGTGTAAAGACGTCATTAACAGTCTGAGAAAAACATGACTTTGTGCAATGCCAAACTATAGGTAGCGACAAATTGTAGTACAGTGAAAGAAAATATGTGTAATACAATGCGATAATAAAAGAAATATAGGAAGTATGAAGCTTCACGTCATCAAAATATTGTTTTTGCGAAAAATAATAAAAAAAGAGAACTATCATTTTATTACTCCCTACATTCACTGTCGTTTTCTTATCTTATAATACTTAGCGAAATCCCAAGATACCTAGTATACCAAATCACAGCGTCAAGTTTATAATCACAATGGTCGAATATACGTACTAATAATACAATAAACCAACCAACATTATCATAAGGAATATAGTACAGAGATGAACGAGAAATACGTCAACTCGATTATATGAACCAACGACAACCACTGAACGGCAGGCTCCTGGGACTGCAGACTTAGGACAGGCACATAAAGATTGTGGCGGTTTTTAACTTGTTTGTGAGCGCTCAATCCTCCCCGTAACCTGGGACAGTGGTGTTACAGCACAACATAAGAACAAACTATAAAAATCAGTTGAAAATGGCTTAAATTATCAGATCGATACAATGCATAGACACATCTAACAAAAGCACAGACCGGACATGGCAGGGTATTTATACTTATCTTACAACAAAAGACACAAAGTACAGATCTGAGAGTACTTGCAGTTACTGACAGCTAGTTCAAAGCCAAAACAAGCTAATAAAAGAAATCATGTATGTAAAACTAATATATCAACCAGTACACATCCAACATCCAATGGATTTAGTGTAAAGACATGATAAACAGTCAGAGAAAAACATGACCTTGTACAATGCCAAATTATAGGTATCGACAGATTGTAGTACCGTGAGAGTAACAATACTATTTAGTATGATTTTAATTTACTGATAACAAAATCAATATTTATACCAATAAAGACAATACTCAAAGATCTAATTATAGTGTTGAATTGGTAACCTTTTATAGTGCCTAACAAGATTTTGTGAGGTAGACGAAATTGACCTTAAAACGATCGTATTGAATTTTGATGTTTAAAAATAGGCAGATCGGACATATTTTGACTTTATTTACTGACTACTTTTGTTTGGGATTAATTGTAATTATAACATTATAATGAGATTGAAAAATGTTTATCTTTTCTTTTTGTTGAGATAAACAATAATTTTACCTGGCGTAGCCGTGCGTAAAATGTATTTCGGCATTTCTCTTCGAAAAATGACTTGTGTAATGGAATAAAACGTCTAATTTATAAATTTTCTCTTTTTTTCTCCGGAATAGACTATTAAAAAATAACTTATATACTCTATATGTGAAAAATTTTGTGAAAATATAAGAAGTGGCAATTCTTACCTTTCATGCCTTCAGTTTCATTGATAAAAAATAATATGGACTCGTACAGTGTCCAGTTTGAAGGTCATTTAAGTTACTGTACACATTCATGCATGTTCTGATTTAATCAACACACGTGTATGCAAAAACTAAACATTTTGAAGGTAAACTAATAATAACTTAATCCAATCAAATTGCGTAAGATTCAAAAACAATGACCGGTCTACATCAAAATAAGTAATAGGGGTAAACTGGGTAGGGAGAAAATGACAGATATTTTAAATTATTTTTTTGCAATAACGAATAAAAATTTGTCAACCAAATGTTTTACAATAATTTCAAAAACATGTCGATCTGTATTGGTATAGTTTTCGGAACTTTCATTTGCGTATTTAAGGCAATAGAAAGTTTGGGCGTCAAAAGTCTACATAATTATTGACTTTATACAGAAAATACGCCCTTTTTAAACATTTAATGTTTTGCAAATAACAATGGACACAAAGTAAAATCATTTCTTAAAACACTGCAAAAAAAAATCATTCTGATTGGTATAGTGGTATTGTCATAAAGTGCGTTGAAACGAACCGTAGTATAGCAACTATCGAATTCCCTCACAAAATGTTATTACGCACTATAGAATAAGTTTATTCAAAGGATTGATACCCGGATCGTATATAAATGTCTGGGATCGGTAAACAACATCACCGTATGAGTACAGTTTCAAGTTCAGAAAAGATACAAAATTGCTGATAGCAACTATATGACAATTTACTGTTTATTGTAATCTCATTCAAGCCTCAAGCTGGATGAAATTCTGCTTTGTATCAAATCCCTGCAGACAGAGTCATACTTCTCAATAGATATTTATATTTGGTATAAACTTTGACCAATATAATTATAACAATGTTTATATCTTAGCTGCAAAAATGTTTTAGTTATAACAAAATTTCATTCATTGAATTCTGATATATCACTGTAAACATGGGTTTATACAACCAACTGAGAAACAAAACAGAACATCAGCATGAATCAAAGGGAATGACAATGGGCAGGGTACGATAAGAGCCTCATTTGGCCTAATTTTTTACCTAAATTTGAATTTTAGATTTAAGGTTTCCATTTTTGTCTGATTTAAAGCTGAGGTAAAACAAAATAGAAAAAACAGGAATGTTTCCATCCATGACGTCACAATAAATGCAGTTGTGATGTCATGGATATTCCCTTCTTCATGTTTTTTCTTGGAAAATACATAGATTTTGGTCAACCAACTAAATAATTTACCACTTTGTTTATTCCAATATGACCAACACATTTCATATAAATATTTTTGTTGTTGCAAATATGTGTAAAAATCTACAATTGTTAATTTTGTAGATAAATTGGATCTATGCTAATTTTTTACCATACAATCTCAATGAATATTTGTAATATCTCAAAATCTTACAGTTTATCCTGATCACATACTAACAATTATCTTTAAGCCAAAATTACCTGATTTTGTAATACTTCATTTTTTAGCTCAAATAGCGCCTTAAGCTCACCTCCTTTATCATAAACTTTGGTATGAAGAAACCAAGAGAAATTATAATCATTTTTTAAAAGGACATCGGTCACTATTATATGATTTAGTAAGAGCAAGTATAGGTGGAGAATTTAATTTATGTTAAGAAAAATCAAGATTTTTTTTTAAAGAAAATGTCTGCAGGGTTTGTTAAATATAGATTCTTACATCGGTATCAGTGGATTATAGGATTTATCCTATCGAGATAGTTAAATTATCGAATTTTAAAGTCCGAGCCTCCATTTCAACTATCTAGATTGGATAAATCCGATAATCCACGAGTAACTATGTAAGAATCTGTTTCTCTAATGATTATCAAATAAATTTTCATTTTTGATAAACGAAAATCCCTTTCGAGTGCATTCCACATTCCACAAAGTTGTCAATTTTTATAACACCTGTTAGTATATTTCGATTCATTCAGTGAGCTGATAAAAGAGAGGCGAAATCTTAAGATACCAAAGGAACATTCAATCTCGCAAGTCGAAAATAAACTGACAACGCCATGGCTAAAAAAGGAAAAAACGACACACAGACGAACAACAGCACACAAAACACAACATAGAAAACCAAAGTCTGAGCAACACGAACCCAACCAAACACTGGGGGCGATATCAGGTGCTCCGGATGGGTAAGCAGATTCTGCTCCACATGTGGCACCCGTCGTGTTGCTCATTTTAGTACACATCCGGTGATAAGTCTAATTCGGAAGGTCACATTCGGGAAAAAGTTACGACAATTGGAACATAACCGTCGTCATCTATAAAACAGATATTTCATAACGGTCAACCAACTCGTGATGGCGTCCGTAAAATATGCAAAGGGATGATGTCAACTTCACCACTTGGAACTCTTGGTTTAGTACCTCTTGTGAGCAGCAAATCTCTATCAAGGATAAAGGTTGTGACCCTTAATCTCAACCAATCATCTTCTGAGATCATCGGAAACCACACGTTGATTAAATTGTTTTATGCAATGGGTTCAGAAAGGGTTAAATTGTCAAAGAATTAGAAGAAAACATCTATCAAGTGGTGTTTTGTTGACTTGAGGACGTCAGTATGCTGTTACTATATGAAATATATCACAATAAGATATCATCTCTTGATCAAAAATAGTAAACTTCTTTTGTTTAAGCATATAAAAACTGAATATAAACAACAATTTTATTTGACATTCCCAAATGTTGTTACTAAGAAGACTTATAAGTATGCAAATTTAGAATTAGTGATCATTCCCTCGCTATTGAAACTGGAAGATATAAAATAGTCCACGACCTCAAAGACTTTGTAATAAGTGCACAGTTCTGGATGATGAATCCCATTTCGTTTTATTATGTAAAATAAATAATGATTCAAGACATGTCTTTTTTAACGATTTAAAAACCCAATACAAAGATTTTTCTGATAATAAAATGAAACATATTCTAAATCGAACTACTAGTCAGCAAGTGAAATCTGTAGGCTCCTGTATTTAACAGTCTATGGAACTGAGGACATGAGGCACTTGAGGTCATTTGTTGTGTTGTGTGTTTGATATTTTGTTTTATTTTTATGTAAATGTAAATTTCATCATTATATTGTTGGTTATACATGTAATTGTTATTATGCATTTGACCCTCTTATGGGTGTAATTTGTGCTCAATAAAGGTATTATATTTAAATATTACCTGTCTGATATTTTTATTTTCAGGAGCCTATACCTCCAAATCTGTTGGAAGAATCAGAGGAGTATTCAAGTCGAAATCAAAGCAAGGAAATAACATTTGTTACAGCTTATTTTAATCTTGGAAAAATCGTGAAAGGTCCTTTCAAAACATTCAATACACATACATATTACAGGTGGATGAAAAATTACGCTTTTGTGTACAACGACATTATTCTCTACACTGATTTAGAGGATTTAGCAATAAAATTTAAATTAGAACGATCTCATTTTCCAGATCATATGACCAGAATATTTTTAAGAAAGCAAAATGAATTTTGGGCATTTGGATTAAAACCAAAAATTGAGAAAATTTACAATCAATCAGACTATCCAAAATGGTATCCGAATACAGTCATGGCTTCATATTCGTGTGCCATGCACGTAAAGTATGATCTTATTCAGAAGGTGATAAAAGAAAAATTAGTAAACACAAAATATTTAGCATGGATAGACTTAGGTTATTTTAGAGGCAATGAAAAAGGTATTTTTTCATTAAAACCTCCACAAAATATCAAAGACGATCATATAGCATTTGTACAGATTGATAAATACGTCGACATGACGCCAAAACAAATCATGTTTAGTAATAGTGTATTTTTAGCAGGTGGATTATTCATTGGTAGACCTCAGTACTTACTTCTTTTGGTTGAAGATTATAAAAAAGCAGTTGAAGGATTGATTGCAATGAATATAATGAACACAGACCAGCAGGTACTTTATTGTATGTACTCGCTGAAATCTCCATTCCAATCTAGAGTACCGATCCAGAGATATTACAGCCAGAGCCGCTTTTTATGGTTCTATCTTGGTGACCTCTGTAGCGAAAATAGTTTATTTTTAATGAGAAAAAAGACAAAATTACGAGAATTTATAGCAAGTAGTATATTTTTGTAATGTAACTAATGATTATGACATTGTTAACATTGTTTAATCACTATTGTTTTAGGAATTGGCTTATTCAGTACAGCATTTGTTTGTGGTACATTTTAAAGGTTGATTACTAGCAATGGATATTCAGCCAATGATGGAAGGCTATTTTTAATTCAAGAAATTTATTAATACTCAGATATTCAACTTACAAAATAATGAGTATGTGTATGACCATAAAGAAAATTTCAAAAATTGTGCATGAATTTGGTGTATGTTCTAAAAATATCAATGATGTCATTGTTAAAGTAAAAAATATACTAGTATTTATGCTCCTCCATTGACATCCTGTAGAAATAACTATATACACTTAACATATCTACTATTTTGTATTCATGCAGCAAGCTCTGTTCGCTTCTCTTTTAAATAAAAAACCAAACATCTTATTGGCAAAATTTGTGCCACCATTTGTGGCGCTATTTTATTTCTACTTTCATATTTATTTACAACAACTATAATGATAAGCAAGATGGAGACCAAAAATTTCCCCCCTTACAGAGACATACATATGAATTTAATAAAAGTAACAGATATAAGATAAACAATATACCTATATAAAACTAAAATGTTGCATTGTACTCAAGATCCATTAACTAAACAAAGTAACTTAATAACATGAATTTTCTAAAAAAAAATATTTTCATAAACTTCCTTGCGAGTTTTAGTAGTTTAAAAGGGTGGTGGTTAGGGAAGAGGTAGAAATTAAGAAAATCAAAATTAATTGAATAATCCTTTGAGCAAAATTGTCAAGTGCTTCAAGATCAGCAAGAAATGCGTGCGCATAAAACTTATCAATATTCATTACCTAAGACAATAGCCCAAACAACATCGGATTGCACATTACACAAATGCTCTGTTCTTCGCATAAATGTGTTATTTATTTCATTCATAACCCTATTTTAAAATCGGACTTATCTTCCTTTGTCCATAACTGAAGTTGTAGAACCAACTACAATAATGGAAACAAGAAAATATGTCATCTCCAATCCATAATATTGCCTTCCATGCAATGATTAATTTTTAGTTGCCACTTTAAAATAAATGCAATATTTACCCTGCAGCAACCTTATGAAAAAGGGGCAAAAAACAATACTATTCTTACTATTACTTTGTATACCTTGCTTATTTCTTGACCAATTTCAATGCGGTTTAATTCAAAGTCTTGAATTCTTCGGGTTCTTTAATATGCTGAATATAACCGTGTAACTTAGATTTTTTATTTTGGGCCCAGTGTTCAAATTTGCTCACATTAAGGTCCAAAAGGTCCAAAATTAAACTTAGTTTGATTTTAACAAAAATTGAATTCAAAGAGTTTTTTTATATGTTAAATCTAGGCATGTATTTAGATTTTTCATTTTTGGGCCAGTTTTCAAGTTGGTCCTAATCTGGGTTCAAAATTAAACTTTTGTTTTTATCTCAAGTCTTTTGGTCGGATTGACGGACTGAATGGAGCGGTTACTAGACCTGTTTACACCGTTGGCGACGTAGATAATAACAGAAACTTTTCAAGGGAAAGATTTGATTGGATGCTGAAAGGTCACTGAAAATGACCTTTTATGGAGTAATTCGATTTTTATCAAATTGAGAAAATTGGTACCAATTTTCATTATCTTGATTTGTTACTTGTAAAATGGTTCGCAATTATTCTTTAAAAGGTTTCTCACTTACCACAATCAAAGATTATTCGATACACATTTATGGTCTCGCGGGAGTCGGTATTAAAAGTTGAATAATGCTGCACAGTCTTCGAACTGAATGCTTTCTTACCACCTGCTTGGACGATGTTACTGACACCATAATAGTTAACGACGATTGGGTGGGCAAAGTCGAAAACCTAGTAATTGTCTTTCAATCCTGCAGAATGTCGGGTGTGAATTCTTTAATATATACATGATATAGTTATCTTAAAATCGTCATGATTATCAATCGTGCTTATCTGTACACAGGATAAAAATAGTAAACACATATCTTTATATAGCCAACGCTCCTGCAAATTTGTAATTTTTAAAAACGCACAAAAGTCATGTGATTATTCCACATTTTATCCAGTCGTTTAGTGTTTAGAGTTATCAAAATTGTAACGTATATGAACAAAGGAACACACCGCGCATACTTTTGTCTTATAAGTTAGATAACCAAAAGGCAACACATAAATTGAAAAACGAAGATATCCAAATCAGTTTTATTTTCTGTTATATATAGTATTGATTAACATGGATATCTTAAACAAAGGGTTGAACTCTCTACCAAGATAGCAGAAGTTGAAGAACGGAAGACGAAAAAAAAAAGTCAAAGGGGAAATAAGATGAAAAAAGGCCTCTCAGACCATCAGCAATTATACATGTTGTTCACATATTTCAAGCGATGCTTAATTTCTGTGTATAACTAAAGGAAGATGTGAAGTATATATAAGTAATTAAGACAGCAACCCAATTAAACGACACATAGTACGTTGTCTTCTACAATGGGCATATCACTGCATTATCCTACATGATATCTACAATGGACATATCATTACAATATCCTACATGATATCTACAATGGGCATATCATTACATTATCCTACATGATATCTACAATGGGCATATCATTAGAATATCCTACATGATATCTACAATGGACATATTACAATATCCTACATGATATCTACAATGGACATATCATTGCAATATCCTACATGATATATTCAATGGACATATCATTACAATATCCTACATGATATCTACAATGGACATATCATTACAATATCCTACATGATATCTACAATGGACATATCATTACATTATCCTACATGATATCTACTATGGCCATATCATTACAATATCCTACATGATATCTACAATGGACATATCATTACAATATCCTACATGATATCTACAATGGACATATCATTACAATATCCTACATGAAATCTACAATGAGCAAATCATTACAATATCCTACATGATATCTACAATGAACATATCATTACAATATCCTACATGATATCCACAATGGGCATATCATGACACTATCCTACATAATATCTACAATGGACATATCATTACAATATCTTACATGATATCTACAATGGGCATAGCATTACAATATCCTACAAGATATCTACAATGGGCATATCATTACATTATACTACATAATATCTTCAACAACAACAAAATTTGCCTAAACCAGATTAAATCCACAATTTTCTACATAAGGAAATACCTGTACCAAGTCAGGAATATGACAGTTGTTTTCCATTCGTTTGATGTGTTTGAGCTTTTAATTTTGCCATTTGATAAGAAACTTTCCGATTTGAATTTTCCTTGGAGTTCGGTATTTTTGTTATTTTACTTTTTTATGCAGATAATTACGAAATACCTTCATCTCCCCCTTCCTCCCCCTTTTTTCGTCTAGTGTTTATACATTCCCCCTAAAAAAGAAGATGAAAAATCTTAAAAATTGTTTTATCCTTTTAACTTTTGTAATCCACTACAATTTATATACAAAGCTATTCAGGACGAATTAAACTACAATGCAAAGGAAATTCATTTTCACTTTTCATCAGCTATGAGACTGCTAGCTTTTAAAAAAAAGCCCCGATATTCCACATCCCAATAGGCCGACACCCCACTAGTCCGACACCTCATTGGTCCGACATCCCAATGGTTGGACAACCCATTCGTCCGACATCGTAATTAAAAAATATATCTTTATTTTTATATTAGAAAGCCAAATAAAAGGTTCGTTTAATATTAAGAGAAAGACCTTGTACCTCGTGGAAACACGTGAATCAAGTTACCAAGATATGTTTGTTTATTAGTGCTAAAGTAGCAGAATTTCATCACCATGTAACTTAAAGAACAAAATACTTTTTAAAGAGTAGTCGAACTTTGTTGATATCTCTGGATACACTATCTCTCTCCAAAAACAAAATCCTTTGTAAAGAGTAGTCGAATTGTTTAGATATCTCTGGATACACTATCTCTCTCCAAAAACAAAATCCTTTGTAAAGAGTAGTCGAATTGTTTAGATATCTCTGGATACACTATCTATCTCAAAGAACAAAATCCTTTGTAAAGAGTAGTCGAATTGTTTAGATATCTCTGGATACACTATCTCTCAAAGAACAAAATCCTTTGTAAAGAGTAGTCGAATTGTTTAGATATCTCTGGATACACTATCTCTCTCAAAGAACAAAATCCTTTGTAAAGAGTAGTCGAATTGTTTAGATATCTCTGGATACACTATCTCTCTCCAAAAACAAAATCCTTTGTAAAGAGTAGTCGAATTGTTTAGATATCTCTGGATACACTATCTCTCTCCTAAAACAAAATCCTTTGTAAAGAGTAGTCGAATTGTTTAGATATCTCTGGATACACTATCTCTCTCCTAAAACAAAATCCTTTGTAAAGAGTAGTCGAATTGTTTAGATATCTCTGGATACACTATCTCTCTCCAAAAACAAAATCCTTTGTAAAGAGAAGTCGAATTGTTTAGATATCTCTGGATACACTATCTTTCTCAAAGAACAAAATACTTTGTAAAGAGTAGTCGAATTGTGTAGATATCTCTGGATACACTATCTATCTCAAAGAACAAAATCCTTTGTAAAAAGTAATCGAATTATTTAGATATGTCTGCATACACTATCTATCTCATAGAACAACATCCTTTTTAAAGAGTAGTCGAATAGTTTAGATATCTTCGGATACACTATCTCTCTCCAAAAACAAAATCCTTTGTAAAGAGTAGTCGAATTGTTTAGATATCTCTGGATACACTATCTCTCTCCAAAATCCTTTGTAAAGAGTAGTCGAATTGTTTAGATATCTCTGGATACACTATCTCTCTCCAAAAACAAAATCCTTTGTAAAGAGTAGTCGAATTGTTTAGATATCTCTGGATACAATATCTCTCTCCAAAAACAAAATCCTTTGTAAAGAGTAGTCGAATTGTTTAGATATCTCTGGATACACTATCTTTCTCAAAGAACATGATACTTTGTAAAGAGTAGTCGAATTGTGTAGATCTCTGGATACACTATCTATCTCAAAGAACAAAATCCTTTGTAAAGAGTAGTCGAATTGTTTAGATATCTCTGGATACACTATCTCTCTCACAGAACAAAATCCTTTGTAAAGAGTAGACAAATTATTTAGATATGTCTGCATACACTATCTATCTCATAGAACAACATTCTTTTTAAAGAGTAGTCGAATAGTTTAGATATCTTCGGATACACTATCTCTCTCCAAAAACAAAATCCTTTGCAAAGAGTAGTCGAATTGTGTAGATATCTCTGGATACACTATCTATCTCAAAGAACAAAATCCTTTGTAAAGAGTAGTCGAATTGTTTAGATATCTCTGGATACACTATCTCTCAAAGAACAAAATCCTTTGTAAAGAGTAGTCGAATTGTTTAGATATCTCTGGATACACTATCTCTCTCAAAGAACAAAATCCTTTGTAAAGAGTAGTCGAATAGGTTAGATATCTTCGGATACACTATCTCTCTCCAAAAACAAAATCCTTTGTAAAGAGTAGTCGAATTATTTAGATATGTCTGCATACACTATCTATCTCATAGAACAACATCCTTTTTAAAGAGTAGTCGAATACTAGTAGTTTATATATCTTCGGATACACTTTCTCTCTCAAAGAACAAAATCCTTTGTAAAGAGTAGTCTAATTGTTTAGATATTTCTGGATACATTATCTTTCAAAGAACAGAATCCTTTGTAAAGAGTAGTCGAATTGTGTAGATATCTCGGATACACTATCTCTCGAATACAGGTGAAAGCGGCCGCAGTTAGAAAATAAAAGAACCAGTGAAGCTTTGCTGCTTACACGATTACATGTGAGAAATAAAACAGGCAAGTTTTTCTGGTATAACTCAAGCGATAAAGAGTAATAAGGTTAACTCAATTCAATATATTTTATTTCATTAACACCAGTCTAGTATGTCTTTTTGGGCACCTATATTTAAAAAAGGGTGAAATTAGGATAGAACACTTGTCTTGCTGTCTTCCGCCGTAATTTTGCTCTTTTTCAAACAGGTAAAGTGATTCAATGATTAAAGTAATACTTCTCAGTGTATGAAGCGTTCGCCGTAAGGAATCTATTAACTTCTAGTATATGAGTTTACAAAATATGTTCTTGAAAATTGTAAAAGGCAAAAATAACAATACAAAAGGGTTATCATTTAAATAATTTCATAAATCCTCGACATGACAAACATTATTGAAGTTTTGTATGAAATAAGTATGTTTGTTGAAAAAACTTCAGATCCAGACGGACTGACCACTATTTATTTCTCTAATAGCTTATAGTATGTAGCAGGAACATACCAATTACTCATCGTATGTATGAAGCTAGAGCAGACAAGCTAAAGGGAGAACTGAAGTTGATTATTGATTGTTTTACGTCTAGTGGCGAATATTTCATTCATGTTCAGGAGTAGAACTAAATTACAATAAATACAATAGGTATGACCTGTAAAAGGAGGCGACAGGAATAAAAAGCGAGACATTTTAGATGTCACTGGAAAGTGAGAATATATTGGATAGGGAAAAACATTTAGCTCTACAACAGGTCACCTACGGGTGCTTAGGGTTCTTAAAGTGCAACGAGTTTGGTACTCTCTTTAAACGAGGCATCGGATTTAACGTCCCTATTCTGACCGGCTGCGAATCGAAACATCCAAAAGTACAGCCAATTAGACGTCCCACTTTGGCATGAAAGATTTATACTGTCGGTCTAAAGAAAACCAAGAGATGTCCTTATTTCTATACACTAGTCATTCTTGGGGTCAGAAAGAACTAATAAGAACATCAAATGATATCAAGCAATTGTCTTGTCCTATTTATATGGATTTTCTAGTCAAGAACTCAGGTCTACTGATTATATTGTATTACTTCCATATACAACCGCATTAGTGGTGTCGTTCTGGTCCCGCGTAGTACAGGAGGACGTCAGACGATCTCTGGTTAGTTAAAACAAACGACTTACTAGATATTTGCTATTTCTATGGCAAGCAAACGCAATTTAGAAGCAACAGCAAAGACTGGTCTGTTCAAAGTGGATATAATATGCCCGTTATAAGAAGCAAGTTAAAATGTATTGAGTTTGTTAAATTTCTGTAAACATACAAACTTTCATTTCATTCCTGTGTCATTGTCCTAGTGTGTTGTAACAGAATTATTTGCAAACATTGTTTTTGCTTATACATTATATACGCTGTTCATTCGTTTACAATGTTGACCGATAATCAATTTATTTATCTATTGTATTGGGTCTTTATTATGTGTGTTTTGTAACTAGTCATTTTTCGGATCTATGTATCCGGGATCGATTACTCCATGTTTTGCCCGTTAGCATAGGGAACCAGCAATAATGTAATGTTTCTCCATTAGCTCATTACTGTCTATAACTAAGTCTATTTAATGTTCACATGTTTAATGTTTATAGATCTTCATATAACAGTACATGTATAATATATATAAAGGTTCACAATTATAATTTCCAATTAACATTCGTGCAAACACCTTGTTACTTCAACTGTTTCGGTACTTTTACATCCCTCGGATTTCAAATGTTTGGCTTTGAGCGTTCCTGATGAAGGTAAATCCAGAAAAGCGCATCGGACGCATGAAATTATTAAACGTGTTGTTTTTAATTTTTTTCAAGCTACTCCTTACCAATATAAAGTTTCTCACAAGATCGTGCTATTAACATCTGTTCTTAATTTAGACTAAACATTGCTTTATGGTCTTAGCATATTTTGATAAACTTATCAATGTTATTGCAACTCTACTGTGCAACCCATATTCCGTATAAAATGTCACATTAATCAAGATAAAAGATCATTAAACTGATTAAGTATTGACCATCATCTCTTTGATGTAACTGACCACGCCACACTATTATAGAGATTTGTTCAATATTACACTGAAAACTATTTATTTGTCATGGCTACTATTTTGTTATGTTATTTTCTAGTCCGAAAATGGGCGTGTCCTGATGCAAAAGAGAGGCGAAAGAAACAAAAAAAAATAACAAAAATACTGCACTCCAAGATAATAAAAAGGACATTCAAAATCGAAAACAAACTGATTACCCTATGACAAAAAACGAAAAACAAAGTCTATTACGTTATATTTCTATACGTATTTATTTTAAATAGATTGACTTGCAATTTAAATGTTATAATTCAAATATGCACATAAGACTGCTAAGAAAAATAGACACGAGTACAGGGAAAATTGCCTATAGTTTTTTTTATATATATATAGAAAATTTTCCCTACAGATGATTTATAGACTTATCGAAAATTTTCAAAAATTATCAACTTTTTGTAAAGATAACGATTTGAAATAACTGTTATTTATGTTCTCTTATTACCTTAACATTGTGACAAATATGTTTGTACTGAATATAGGGTGAAATTACAATCATGTGAAAAACAAATAGGTTTTATTTCTTTAAAACAAAACAAACAAACAAAAATGATGAATTACTACAATGTTCTTGCTACACAATTATATGTAAATATTTTAATCGATGATTGTTAATGGGTTTTATATCAATTAATTAATTCATTATATTGTTGGTTTTTATGTCTTCAACTAATTTAGTCAGCACTATATAAAAACAACACGATTTCATAAAAACAACATAATAATCATTTGAACTTTTAATGAAACTTCCCAATATTCACGAACCACAGGAGAAAATTATATCTTATATGTATCCTCCCACTAAAATATTCGTTTGTTGACAATGTAGAACGCATATATCCCATCAAACTTGACATAAAGGATACAACAGATACAGTTACGTCTGACCCGTATCTTGTCTTCCATCTTAAAATTGACAATGACATAATATTCTAGTTAGTATGTTCAATGTTATTTTGGCAAAACAACAGCTGCAGTAGTGTGTCATGAAAATAATCTGAATTGTTTTTAAAGAATTTCAACATGTTTAATACATTTAAGAAAAACACAGTCACTTAACTGTAATGAAAACCGATGACCCAGATAGGTTTTTTTTGAAAGAATATTATGTGGAAAAATTAATGTTTACTCGGTGGCTTTTTCATTTCTATAATTCAATGCAATGAACTGGATAGAGATCACTTCTTCTGCTACAGTGAAGATGATCGTATAGCAAGGTAAGGTAAAATTTTGAAAAGCATAAACAGTCTGTTATATACTAGTTTGAGAGAAGATTAGGGCAGTATCAAATCTCATGATTTATTTACTTCACAAGAATGTAGTTTATATCAAACATTTTCCACAGTACGAAAAAATTAAATGTCATAGGGATTTTTAAGTAACACGTATAGATATATAACCATGGATGACATTAGAAATGTTTTTCTTTAGCAGGGAACTAATTTTATTTGTTAATTTTTATATTTGCTCACTTCCAAAATTGTTTCACTGACCAGTATAAAACTACCCACCTTACAGCTATCTAAATTGCAGTCGCCTATTTTATCGAACTATATTCAAAGGTTTTATAAATCAATTAATTTGCCTTCCAAATAATATCTATATATGCAAGTAAGGTTTGGTAACATTAAAACGTTTAAACCTACTGCAATTGTTTGCACCTGTCCTAAGTCAGGAATCTGATGTTCAGTAGTTGTCGTTTGTTGATATGGAATATGACAGTTGTTTTCCATTCGTTTGATGTGTTTGAGCTTTTAATTTTGCCATTTGATAAGAAACTTTCCGATTTGAATTTTCCTTGGAGTTCGGTATTTTTGTTATTTTACTTTTTTATGCAGATAATTACGAAATACCTTCATCTCCCCCTTCCTCCCCCTTTTTTCGTCTAGTGTTTATACATTCCCCCTAAAAAAGAAGATGAAAAATCTTAAAAATTGTTTTATCCTTTTAACTTTTGTAATCCACTACAATTTATATACAAAGCTATTCAGGACGAATTAAACTACAATGCAAAGGAATTTCATTTTCACTTTTCATCAGCTATGAGACTGCTAGCTTTTAAAAAAAAGCCCCGATATTCCACATCCCAATAGGCCGACACCCCACTAGTCCGACAACTCATTGGTCCGACATCCCAATGGTTGGACAACCCATTCGTCCGACATCGTAATTAAAAAATATATCTTTATTTTTATATTAGAAAGCCAAATAAAAGGTTCGTTTAATATTAAGAGAAAGACCTTGTACCTCGTGGAAACACGTGAATCAAGTTACCAAGATATGTTTGTTTATTAGTGCTAAAGTAGCAGAATTTCATCACCATGTAACTCAAAGAACAAAATACTTTTTAAAGAGTAGTCGAACTTTGTTGATATCTCTGGATACACTATCTCTCTCCAAAAACAAAATCCTTTGTAAAGAGTAGTCGAATTGTTTAGATATCTCTGGATACACTATCTCTCTCCAAAAACAAAATCCTTTGTAAAGAGAAGTCGAATTGTTTAGATATCTCTGGATACACTATCTCTCTCCAAAAACAAAATCCGTTGTAAAGAGTAGTCGAATTGTTTAGATATCTCTGGATACACTATCTCTCTCCTAAAACAAAATCCTTTATAAAGAGTAGTCGAATTGTTTAGATATCTCTGGATACACTATCTCTCTCCAAAAACAAAATCCTTTGTAAAGAGAAGTCGAATTGTTTAGATATCTCTGGATACACTATCTTTCTCAAAGAACAAAATACTTTGTAAAGAGTAGTCGAATTGTGTAGATATCTCTGGATACACTATCTATCTCAAAGAACAAAATCCTTTGTAAAAAGTAGTCGAATTATTTAGATATGTCTGCATACACTATCTATCTCATAGAACAACATCCTTTTTAAAGAGTAGTCGAATAGTTTAGATATCTTCGGATACACTATCTCTCTCCAAAAACAAAATCCTTTGTAAAGAGTAGTCGAATTGTTTAGATATCTCTGGATACACTATCTCTCTCCAAAATCCTTTGTAAAGAGTAGTCGAATTGTTTAGATATCTCTGGATACACTATCTCTCTCCAAAAACAAAATCCTTTGTAAAGAGTAGTCGAATTGTTTAGATATCTCTGGATACAATATCTCTCTCCAAAACAAAATCCTTTGTAAAGGGTAGTCGAATTGTTTAGATATCTCTGGATACACTATCTTTCTCAAAGAACATAATACTTTGTAAAGAGTAGTCGAATTGTGTAGATATCTCTGGATACACTATCTATCTCAAAGAACAAAATCCTTTGTAAAGAGTAGACAAATTATTTAGATATGTCTGCATACACTATCTATCTCATAGAACAACATCCTTTTTAAAGAGTAGTCGAATAGTTTAGATATCTTCGGATACACTATCTCTCTCCAAAAACAAAATCCTTTGCAAAGAGTAGTCGAATTGTGTAGATATCTCTGGATACACTATCTATCTCAAAGAACAAAATCCTTTGTAAAGAGTAGTCGAATTGTTTAGATATCTCTGGATACACTATCTCTCTCAAAGAACAAAATCCTTTGTAAAGAGTAGTCGAATTATTTAGATATGTCTGCATACACTATCTATCTCATAGAACAACATCCTTTTTAAAGAGTAGTCGAATAGGTTAGATATCTTCGGATACACTATCTCTCTCCAAAAACAAAATCCTTTGTAAAGAGTAGTCGAATTATTTAGATATGTCTGCATACACTATCTATCTCATAGAACAACATCCTTTTTAAAGAGTAGTCGAATACTAGTAGTTTATATATCTTCGGATACACTTTCTCTCTCAAAGAACAAAATCCTTTGTAAAGAGTAGTCTAATTGTTTAGATATTTCTGGATACATTATCTTTCAAAGAACAGAATCCTTTGTAAAGAGTAGTCGAATTGTGTAGATATCTCGGATACACTATCTCTCGAATACAGGTGAAAGCGGCCGCAGTTAGAAAATAAAAGAACCAGTAAAGCTTTGCTTTACACGATTACATGTGAGAAATAAAACAGGCAAGTTTTTCTGGTATACCTCAAGCGATAAAGAGTAATAAGGTTAACTCAATTCAATATATTTTATTTCATTAACACCAGTCTAGTTTGTCTTTTGGGCACCTATATTTAAAAAAGGGTGAAATTAGGATAGAACACCTGTCTTGCTGTCTTCCGCCGTAATTTTGCTCTTTTTCAAACAGGTAAAGTGATTCAATGATTAAAGTAATACTTCTCAGTGTATGAAGCGTTCGCCGTAAGGAATCTATTAACTTCTAGTATATGAGTTTACAAAATATGTTCTTGAAAATTGTAAAAGGCAAAAATAACAATACAAAAGGGTTATCATTTAAATAATTTCATAAATCCTCGACATGACAAACATTATTGAAGTTTTGTATGAAATAAGTATGTTTGTTGAAAAAACTTCAGATCCAGACGGACTGACCACTATTTATTTCTCTAATAGCTTATAGTATGTCGCAGGAACATACCAATTACTCCTCGTATGTATGAAGCTAGAGCAGACAAGCTAAAGGGAGAACTGAAGTTGATTATTGATTGTTTTACGTCTAGTGGCGAATATTTCATTAATGTTCAGGAGTAGAACTAAATTACAATAAATACAATAGGTATGACCTGTAAAAGGAGGCGACAGGAATAAAAAGCGAGACATTTTAGATGTCACTGGAAAGTGAGAATATATTGGATAGGGAAAAACATTTAGCTCTACAACAGGTCACCTACGGGTGCTTAGGGTTCTTAAAGTGCAACGAGTTTGGTACTCTCTTTAAACGAGGCATCGGATTTAACGTCCCTATTCTGACCGGATGCGAATCGAAACATCCAAAAGTACAGCCAATTAGACGTCCCACTTTGGCATGAAAGATTTATACTGTCGGTCTAAAGAAAACCAAGAGATGTCCTTATTTCTATACACTAGTCATTCTTGGGGTCAGAAAGAACTAATAAGAACATCAAATGATATCAAGCAATTGTCTTGTCCTATTTATATGGATTTTCTAGTCAAGAACTCAGGTCTACTGATTATATTGTATTACTTCCATATACAACCGCATTAGTGGTGTCGTTCTGGTCCCGCGTAGTACAGGAGGACGTCAGACGATCTCTGGTTAGTTAAAACAAACGACTTACTAGATATTTGCTATTTCTATGGCAAGCAAACGCAATTTAGAAGCAACAACAAAGACTGGTCTGTTCAAAGTGGGTATAATATGCCCGTTATAAGAAGCAAGTTAAAATGTATTGAGTTTGTTAAATTTCTGTAAACATACAAACTTTCATTTCATTCCTGTGTCATTGTCCTAGTGTGTTGTAACAGAATTATTTGCACACATTGTTTTTGCTTATACATTATATACGCTGTTCATTCGTTTACAATGTTGACCGATAATCAATTTATTTATCTATTGTATTGGGTCTTTATTATGTGTGTTTTGTAACTAGTCATTTTTCGGATCTATGTATCCGGGATCGATTACTCCATGTTTTGCCCGTTAGCATAGGGAACCAGCAATAATGTAATGTTTCTCCATTAGCTCATTACTGTCTATAACTAAGTCTATTTAATGTTCACATGTTTAATGTTTATAGATCTTCATATAACAGTACATGTATAATATATATAAAGGTTCACAATTATAATTTCCAATTAACATTCGTGCAAACACCTTGTTACTTCAACTGTTTCGGTACTTTTACATCCCTCGGATTTCAAATGTTTGGCTTTGAGCGTTCCTGATGAAGGTAAATCCAGAAAAGCGCATCGGACGCATGAAATTATTAAACGTGTTGTTTTTAATTTTTTTCAAGCTACTCCTTACCAATATAAAGTTTCTCACAAGATCGTGCTATTAACATTTAGACTAAACATTACTTTATGGTCTTAGCATATTTTGATAAACTTATCAATGTTATTGCAACTCTACTGTGCAACCCATATTCCGTATAAAATGTCACATTAATCAAGATAAAAGATCATTAAACTGATTAAGTATTGACCATCATCTCTTTGATGTAACTGACCACGCCACACTATTATAGAGATTTGTTCAATATTACACTGAAAACTATTTATTTGTCATGGCTACTATTTTGTTATGTTATTTTCTAGTCCGAAAATGCGCGTGTCCTGATGCAAAAGAGAGGCGAAAGAAACAAAAAAAAATAACAAAAATACTGCACTCCAAGATAATAAAA